AGCGCGCCACCTCCCCGCCCCGGTCCTGCCACCGGCCCGCCCGAGCCCCGGACCAAATAAGGACGTCAGCTCGGGCCGGGAGACGGGAGCGGGGCGCGGGGCCGGCGGGCACCGCGTGTGTCTGCCCTCCCGGAGCCGGGGAAGGGACCCGTGCGAGCAGAGGGCCGGGTGGCACCTGTCACGGGCACCCACGTGGAGTGCCTCCGAGGTGAGCGTTCCCGACACACGTGTCGGATGAGACAGATTCCTGTCCGGGAAGTCCCCCGAGCGGACTCAGCGGTTAGGGTTAGGGCCCAGCCCTCTCTGGGCAGCCATGCCCGGCGGCCCCCACCCCAGCTGGCTCCCGCCCCCCTCCGGGTGTGAGCGCTCAGGCTGCACCGTGCTTGGGAACAGCTCCTCCTGGAGGAGTGGCGCACAATGGCTCTGGGCCCCTCTGGGCTTCTGGATGATTTTGTCCAGATGGCGGAGGATTTGCTGTCCCGAGAGACCTTCAGAAGCAGGAGGCGTCTTCCCTGGGTGAGAAGAGCAGGCTACTGCTCGCTTCTCTCCAGGGCCCCACGCTCCCCGCGATCCAGGGGTGTGGAGAGGACTCCGGAGGTGCCTTGGAACTTGGACCTTCCCCGTGCCCTTCACACAGGAAGGTGACCCACAGGGAGGCAGGAAGAGCCTCCTGGTCACAGAAAGCCAGCAGCAGTGTAGAAGCTGTTTATTGGGAACACAGAAGTCTTTCCTGAGACTCGAGAAGGATGTCTCTGACGAATTCAGCAGAGATGCTTGCCAGTTAAGAGCAGGGTGTGTGTCCATGCTAGAGAGACAGGGTAGGCTGGTGAACTGCGAGGTGAAGTGAGGAGCAGGAGGAAAGACAAGTGGCAGAGACAGACCCCTTGTCCACCTGAGCCCGTCCTGTGCTTCCCCATTTCTCCTCCTCTTCAGTCCCAGCTCTCCTGGCCCCTGGCCTCCTCCGAGTCTATAGAAGCTCTTCCCTTTGCTCCTGGGCTGGTGCTCCATGGCGGGCCCCAAGGAGTACCCCTTTTCATTCTCAAACAGGCTCCAAGGGGAGACAGTTTGGAATCCCGAGTGTCTAGGCACCATGGGATGATAGGTTGGCCAGCAGCAACCAGTTCTGTAAAGAGAGAGAGAGACCTTGGAGGGTTTCTTGGTTTGGGGCAGGAGGCATACACCTGGTTGGAGGACTGAAAAACTCCAACAACTATAACAAGGTAGTTTGCAGAGGAGAAGAATGTGCCTGGATTCTGTTCCCCCCTCCCTCCATCGGTGAGGTTTGGTTCTCAGGAGTGGTACCTTTGTGAATACCAAGGGCCCTGAGGCTCACTCAGGACTGGCGGGCTGGAGTGCCGAGGAGATACATGGGGGAGGGATGTTTTCCCCGTGTCAGTGCTGATCGTTGTTGGGATTAGGGGGCTCATGGGGGACCCCAGGCCCTCAGGGACTCAGATTCATCTCTGACACAGGAAGTCCATGAGTGGGCAGGTCCAAGAAACAGTGGAATTTCCACCATGAAGTTTGCTTGTGATGCTGATTAAACACACTCCCGCGGAAGGACCTGACTTCCTTCCAGCTCGATATGTTGCTCCAAACCACCCACTTGTAAATGATCATTTTTCACATTCCCTCCACATATGCAGTCCAGATTAAGCGATATTTCCAAGTTTTTGTTTTTTCTTGAAAAAAAAAACATTACAACTGTCAGTTAAAAGAGTAAGACAAGCAAACATAAAGAAAAACACAACTCTTGCTGGGAAGTGTTGAGAGGGTGTGAAACAATCCAAAGATTGATTATGACACGGAGATTGGCACCCGATTTAAGTCTGGATGAAAGACTTCAGCCTCCGGAGACCCTGCCCAGCAGGCAGATAGCAGGGTTTGGCCATGTGCTTTCAGTGAGATCAGCCTGGGGGGGGTGGTGGTTTATTCCCCCTTCATTCTTTTTGCACAGTGAGATCATGACAGCTTAGGTTTTGAAGAACTGAGCCAAAAGGGTGATCATGCTTTCTAATTTAAGAAGATGAGGGTATAGTCTGAAAAAAAAAAAAAGAAAGTGTTTGATTTGTGACTCTGATGATAAACATGGATGCTTTCCAGAGCGGAGGAATGCCAGAGGAAACTTTCCCTTGGTATTTCCGCTGCCCCAGCCCACCTTTTCCTCTGCATTCCTCCCTTCCCCTTTACTTTCCTCTTTCACACAATCTTTTTCTGCGTTTCTTCCACTTCTTCCTCCTTTTCTCCTCTTCTCTACTTTCCTTCTCCTTCCTCCCCCTTTCTCCTCCTCCTTATTCATCTTTTCCCGCTCCTCCCCCTCCTCTTCCTTTATGTCTTCTCACTCCTTTATCTTCTCCTCTTTCTTATTGTTTTTTTTCTCCTTCTTTCCCCTCTTCTTAGCATGGTCACAAGGGGGAAACAGTACTATGTGTGGAGAACTTAGTTCATTTAATTCAATCTTCTTTCTCACTGTCCTTAGAATTCAAACCACTCCCTCCACTCCTCTTTGTCCCCAGACTCCAAAGCCGAGGGTCTGGGCATGGCTCCACTCTTCCCATTTCTACTGCCCTTGTGTGCATCTTGAGGTCTTGAGCCTCGTGGTCTTGTTGAACCAAGTAGGTTGGTTGGTGTTGGAGTTGGGAGAAGGATATCAAGTTGGATAACAGGCCTCTTCACCTGCCTAGGTTTCTTCCGAGGCTTTTGAGGGGTCCAGAGAGATGTTAGTTACTTTGCTTGGTAGCATTTGCAGAAGTAAGATGTTAGAAGATGGAGACGTCCACTGACATTTCCATTTTGACTTGCCTCTCCCCTCTCCTCCTGTTGGCGTTGTGTGGGCCTGACCAAGGGAACAGAGTATTAGGAGATAGCTCTGTGGTCTGCAGCCCCCTCTTTACCCAGTGAACCACTTGCTAATCACACTTTCCCCAGGCTTCCTGTGGCCCGCCCGCTGTCCTTACCTGAAACGTGGGGTTTGGAGAGCGGCCCTGACACGCCACACCAGCCTGTCTCCAAGGGCACGCTCGCATGTGGGTAATGGAGGAGAAATCACGGAGGAGCCGAGGTTCCAGTCTCTGGGAAAGCATTCTGTAAGTGCGGAGTACCAACCCGTCACTTCCCTGCTTTTGTGGTTCTTAGTACTTTGTTCCGTACTTTGACGAGACTCTTTTTTTTTTTTTTTGTCTTTTCTTTTTTGGTACTGGGGATCAAACCCAGGACGCTGCACTTGCTAAGCAAGCGCTTTGCCACTGAGCTACATCCCAGCCCTTTGACGAGACTCTTTACCTAATTTTGAACTCATGTCGTTACCTTATTAGTCTAAAATAAGACCTCCCTGAATGATACCTTTCAAGCCTGTTCACCTTGAATCTTTCCCTAGAGGAGGAGGGAGAGAGATGTATTAAGATAGAAGGAGAGCCTGGGGAATCTTCTGGAACCCTGAGAGGCAGGGTTACAAAGTGACAGTCCAGGCCTGGGCGCACAGGATTTCTGTCTTGCGCTTAGGCGGTTGTGTGTTCCTTAAACATTACCCGATGCCAGGTGTGGTGGTTCATACCAGTACTCGGTGTTGGGAGGCTGGCACAGGAGGATGGTGAGTTCGAGGCCAGCCTGGGCTACATAGTGAGATCCTTGTCTCAAAACAGACAGACAGACAAACAAAAACCCATGCTATCAGGATCACAACTAGACTTTTCTATATATCTTGGAGAGTCAACTAAGCTAGAAAGGAAAAGGCAAGAGTTAATTCGCCTATGATGATTATCATAACATTGTAGTGAATTATTTGCCACCAATACTTAATTACGATGTAACCACAACTAGAGG